CTCTGGATGCTAGAACATGTGCCCAAAGTTAAAGATGCGTACGAGCGAGGCACATTGGCGTTCGGTACGGTGGATGCGTGGCTTGTATACCGTTTGAATGGTGGAGTATCCGCAAACGTGTTTGTATCCGATCCTACAAACGCTTCGCGGACGATGTTTATGAACCTTGAGACCCTCCAATACGACAACTTCCTCCTGGACTTCTTTGGTATCAGAGGAAAAGTCCACCTGCCGAAGATTGTGCCTTCTTCAGACGCCAAAGCTTACGGAGCACTGGCATCTGGAATACTTGCTGGCGTTCCGATTATGGGCTGCCTTGGTGACCAGTCCTCGGCGCTTGTAGGGCAAAAGGGCTTTTCGCCAGGAATGGCGAAGAACACCTACGGAACGGGCTGCTTCCTTCTGTATAATGTTGGAGAAAAGCCGGTCATTTCCAAGCATGGACTTTTGGCTACTGTGGCATACCACTTCGATGGCAAGCCGGTCTACGCCCTTGAGGGCAGCATTGCAGTCGCCGGATCTGGTGTCAAATTCCTACAAAATAACTTGAACTTTTTCCAAGAGTCCAAGGAAGTGAACGATTTGGCTCAGACGGTAGAAGACAGTGGAGGCTGTGTGTTTGTCACTGCGTTCAGTGGTCTCTATGCGCCTTACTGGATTGACGATGCAAAGGGGACAATGTGTAAGGCAATTAGGGTTAAATCTCCTTTTGATCCGCGCTGACTTTTCCCGGCAGTTGGTATCACACAGTACACCCAAAAGGGCCACATTGCCCGGGCGACTCTAGAGGCCACCTGCTTTCAGACAAAGGCCATCTTGGACGCAATGGAGAAAGACAGTGGACATGCGCTGTCAGAATTGGCGGTTGATGGAGGCATGAGCAACTCAGACCTTGCGATGCAGGTACAGAACACGAGCCCTTTCATTTTCAGTACTTGAAGCTAATATCCCACTAGATTCAAGCTGATCTCATCTCAATCCCGGTGTATCGCCCCAAGATGCGGGAAACCACTGCACTTGGTGCGGCCATAGCCGCTGGCCTGGCAGTAGGACTGTGGAGAAATTTCGCGGAACTGCGAGACATTAACCGTGCCGGAGGAGCTGTCTTTGAGCCCAAGATCGGTCGCGAAGAAAGCGCCAAGTCATTTGCAAGATGGGAAAAGGCCGTGGCAATGTGCAAGGGCTGGTCTGGAGATGAGCCACCGCCTCCAGTGCAACCTGCTCAGAAGGAGACCAAGAAAATCGCTCCTGAGGTGTTAACGAGTCACAACGCTATCAACGTTACGCCTCCAAAGCTCAACGGCGAGCTTACCACATCCAAACTCCCTTTGATAAGTATCTCTGGGGACTTGGATGACGCCGACGAGGAAGACCTGTACCTGGAGCTGCGAAAGGTGGAGATCCTACAGAGACTCAAGAAACTCCGGAAACTCAAGCTTTCTTTTTACTGAGCGTCTCATGCTTTCATGTTTAACGTTTTCTTGTGGATCTGTATCTGTAGGATGTTCATATTATGGTCATGACGAATCAACGAAGTATTTTTCTTATAGGAGGCGAGGCTTATTTTGCCTCCTACGCCTTACTCCGGTGAACCATTAATTGCTATGCGCATCCTTGTTCATTTGCCTGAATTGGCTTCCATGTGTCACACAGCGACCGCCACTGCTGATGTGAGATTCAGGTTTCAACTGGCCCCTCTGGCTCTTGCGGCCTTTTTGCTTTTGTTCTGAGGGCATAGATACCGCTATCTTGTGCTGCGCTTAGATCAACGATATACAGTCTAGTACTGCATAGCGGAACCCATCTGGTTGTATATAAAAGAAGTACCATAGCTTGTGCTCAATTTCCGTGCTTTGGGTGTAAGGGATTTCGTATTCGTAGGATATAGTGCGTACAATGTCCATGTCCATAACTCGTGCAAATGCGTTATTATAAATCTAAACAACGGAGAGATATCTCATTAAGATCTCAATTCTCCTTGGACGGTAAAGTACACTCGCCCTCTCACACGAAAACACAATTCAATTCCGAACCAGGGCTAAGTGTAACCTCAAACTTCAGCATAGGGTCCTCGACCCGCTCCTTCCCATTGGCCGGCATGGCCTGGATCCTCTCAAAGGCCTGCAGGATCCTCACAATTGTGTAACCCATTTCGATGGTAGCAAACTGCTGACCGAGGCAGATCCTCGGCCCCCCATTGAAGGGGATAAACTGCCAGGGTTTGGGCTGCCACCCGGACAGCCACCGGTCGGGCAACCATTTCTCCGGATCGAAGTAGTTCGGCGAGCCTGGGGGCTCGTAGTTCTCTGCGCTTCGCTGCATGATCATCGTCGAGTAGACGACGCGCGTGTTGGCGCGGACGCCGACTGGCGAGAGGCCGTCGGGCCCGCCGCCGCGCGGCAGCGTCGTGTCACGGAGGGAATAGCGGACGTTGAAGGGAACGGCGGGGTAGAGGCGCATGGTCTCGTTGAGGACGGCGTTCAGGTACCTCATCTCCTTGAGGTCGCTGTAGCTGGGTTTCTGGGCCGAGAGCCCGAGAGCCAGTCGGGCGCCGATCTCCTCGCGCAGTTTGGCGACGACGTCGGGGTTGCGGGCTAGCTCGAAGACACAGAAGGCGAGGGTTGCGGCTGTGGTGTCGCGGCCGGCGAGGAGGACGGCGACGAGCTGGTCACGGAGGACGCGCGGGTCGCGGGTGAAGCGGGCAAGGGCGTCCAGGAAGGTCTCTCGCTTGGAGAGCTTCTGGTTGAGTTCCGAGAGTGTCAGAGAGAGAGCTCTGTTGATATATGGTTGTATGAAATCGTCCATCACTTTGAGTTCCCGGCGGAATTTCCTCCTCGACACGGCGAAGTTGAATATGCTGATTCCATAATTAGTGTTAAGTCACCACGTTTCCCGCGTCCGCGAAAGGAAATGTAGCTTACCCTAGCCGAAAGATCTCGGATTGACGATGCTTCACATATCCGAAGGCCTCTGCAAATCTGGTCTCCGGATTGTGCAGACTGTTTGTGCCCTGGCCGAGGAGATAATCAGTGGCTGCGTCCAAGGTGTAGCAGAAAAACAGAGAACCGATATCGACGACGTTGCTCCCACTGGGCGAGTTGCTCCCTGCCAACAGAGGAATCAAGTTTTGGACGTGTTTCTCAAAGATTTCAGTGTCGACGATGCGATCCCGGACAAACATTGGTCGGATGAGATGGCGTGAACGGGACCAGAGCTCACCATCCGTGACGAAGATACTGTCACCTAGAAAGTCTTTCCATTGTTGATGGAATTCCTCGCCTTTCCCATAATCGGCAAATTGTCCCGTAAGAATAGCCTTGATGTTCTCAGGGTCTTTGGTCAGAATGACTCGGAGCGTGATGCCTCCATTAAGCTCGGCGGTTTTGACGCAGTCAATCTGGGTTGCTCCTTTCGCCTTCAGGATCGCTTGATGCATGAATTCATGGTCCGTACCGTTGTCGTTGGCCTTGGATGCTCCGTAAAGGAAGTCGATTGCTGTTCTAGCAGTCAGCCATGCCCGAGTCATCCCGAAAGCTTCTTGACTGTTTGCGACAACCTACCATATGGGAAGCGGAAACGAATTCTCGGGGCTCTGCAACCCAGCTTCGAGATTTCCTTCAACACCTGTGCCCTTCGAATCAAGCAAGCAAAGAACAAAGCCCCCAGGAGACAGAGGGTTGACGTCCCCGGATGTATCTGAGCAAGGAGTTCCTCGATCATCTTGGCAAGTTGCTGAGTCGCAGATGCTCAAATATCGCACATCAAAATCAGGCAAGTCATCTGCCGAGAAAAACAGAGAAGAAAGAGTATATATTCAAATATGCAACCGGTTCATGCAGGATCATATTCATGGGTCGAACTAGATGCAGGTAACTGGGACACAGTCCCTCGGAGATAGACCGCCAGTTCACAGCCTGCATACAAACAACGACGCAATACAGAACCAGACAAGCCACATGATGTTGGCGAAGTAAGCTCATTGGATCTGGAGAGCGCGTTGATCGAGGGCCATCCATATGTGGATATAGCAGACTATTGAGTCAATGAGCTGCTAGTCTTTTGCTTCCCCACAAGCCCGCAAACGGCCAGTCGAGCCTAAATTGACGTCTATCCATTTTGAGGTGCACCTCACTATGCTTGCAAACAACCCCTTGCACAAGAATCGACTATTGTCTAGTTAGGCCCAGACCTTGATGGCGGTTTTTGAAATACATGCTAATAATGGTGAACATAACTAGGAATTTCGCTTGTCCGATACCTCATATGCCTGTGTTAAGGGTATTTGGCTGTCACTGCCATAACGGAATCACCTTTAGCTGGGACACCGGATCAGAATGGGCCGCAAGGCAATACTCGACATGTATAAGCCATGCTTCAAATTGGATAGCCTAAGAGCCCTTCACTAGGCGCTTGTTGAAAAGGGTCATTGTGTTGCTTCATTGAGAGATCCTGCCACGGAAGAGAGGATTGGTGACTGATGCTAACGATTTGAAAAAGCCGTAGAGTTCGGAGAATTTGAGTGATATCTTATCTCCTTCTGAAAGATGATATCTCGACCATATACAAGCTACAATACACTGTTGTAATTATGTAGACGAGCATACAGAGAGGTACACGCGGAAATAGCACCCGAATCGATAAAGCAGCAAGGCCACAAGGCACCCAAGTATCTAGTATGTATGCATTGTTTGTCCTATTGCCAAGCCTCAGTGCACGTGACGATGTGGCTGATGAAATCAGCTTGCCGTCTTTGCCTCATCACCCCAAAGTCTCGTAGGATATCCCAAAACAAGCGACTCGTGCTCCTCCGTCTTTGACCTCTCTTTACCTGCAAATCACGATTTTGCGTAGGCTGCGATTTGTATTTGGTTCTTCTTGCTATACGGAGAAGCAGATTTTGTTGCGGTAGCAACCCCCTTTGAACGGGTGGCGCGGGAACTATTATTGTACGGCCGTCAATCCTTTGCATTGATCGCATTCAACACCACACGCTCTTCACAATGACCACAGAAATCGCGGCTGGTACCCCTCTGGCCGAGGCCTTGAGCAATGCCATCCAGCCCAAACTTGCAGAAATGGGCTGGACCTCCGATGGCGGCGACGATTCAGCTTTGATTGAATACATTATCCTGATGCTTGTCAACGGCAAAAGTCAAGAACAAATTGCAAGCGAACTTTCCAACGATTTGCTCGGCCTTGGCAGTGAAGGAGATACACAAGCTTTGGAGTTCTCTAGGTGGCTTTTCGAACAGGTCGAAGTCCTCAATCGACAGATCAACGGCGGTGGCGCACCGATCGCAAACGAGACGGCACAGGCTATCCCGTCGTTCGACGACCAAACAGCGACTTCACAAGAGATCCCTGGAGGAGGAGATCAGGATGCCACTATGAGCATGGTTGATGGCTCGCACACGGATGATTCGATGTGGGTTCCCGCTCTAAGGCACCTGTCACGGATTTCAGCTAACAATGACGGACTCAGACCTACAGGACCGAAGGCGATGCGTGGCGGACGCCAAGGTGGTAGGGGTCGGATGTTGAACCAGATCAACAGAGCGTTAGATCGCAACAGTGACTCAACTTTACACCGTGTCCGCGGTCAACATGGCCGGATCAATTCTCATGGTCGGGACCAAACTAAAGGACGGCCTCATCAGAACGGCGGGGGTAGGCGGCAAATGAATAACGGACTGCCCATGGGTGCCGCCCAATCGATGATGAACATGAGCCCGCAAGATCAGATGCACTTGATGTCTCTGCTAGAGGAACAAGCTCGGATGATGGCACAGCTCATGCCAGGATTTGTCTCGCCTGCGATCAACCCAGCGTTTCAGCAAAACAACCAACAACAACAAGGGCGCTCGTTGTTTGACCGTGTTGAGCGTCAAGGACGTCCGCATGGTAACTTCTCTAATCGTGCCCAGCACCATGGCATCTCGGCAAAATCACCCACCGAGGGCGACATGGATACCAAGCCTGATGGCGCACAGGATGAGAGCAACACCGACAGTGTCTGCCGCTTCAATCTGCGCTGTACCAGAAAAGACTGCCCCTTCGCGCACCAGTCACCGGCCGCCCCGGAAGGCACTCCTGTGGACGTGGCCGATATATGCACATACGGCGCCGCGTGCAAAAACCGGAAATGTACAGGGCGTCATCCTTCGCCTGCCGTCAAGTCCGCACACCAGGCCGAGGAACTCTGCAAGTTCTTCCCCCACTGTACCAACCCTCACTGCTCCTTCAAACACCCCTCAATGCCTCTGTGCCGCAACGGTGCCGACTGCTCTACGGAAGGTTGCAAATTCACCCACCTTCAAACACCTTGCAGATTCAACCCATGCCTCAACCCAGGCTGTCCTTACAAGCATGCGGAGGGCCAGAAAGGTGCCTTTTCCGACAAAGTCTGGACTGCGGATCAGAACAAGGCCCGTGTGAGCGAGAGGAAGTTTGTTTCAGATGAGGATGCTGCTGAAGAGCTGATCAAGCCGGGTGCTGCAAGCGAGGATGGTACTCAGAACCAGGAAATTATAACGTGATACCCCCGCGAACTCTACGATATCTTCTAATTTCGAACGGTCATATGCCGGGCGTCAGTTTAACCTAGAAATTTGCTTCAAAACATCTTGTTCAAGCTTGATTGTGATGTATTATTCTCATTTGTGGACGATGGCTGGCTGGAAGGGCGTTTGTTGATTTTCTCTCCGATTTATGGGCAGTGTAATGACAAAACATCATCATGTTGGCTTGTAAATAGAATCTGGGTATCATGAACGGTTTCGAAATGTGTCATACCTAAATTCTCTTCTGTCAATGAGCAACTAGTCGTACATCTCAAAGAAATATTCGACAAGATTGAGCAAATGTCGGTTGTACTGAGGTTTACCATACTTACTGGTAATTTTACCGCTGGGGGTCGGAAGCTGGAGATGGCCTTTTGCATGATCGTGCCTCACTCAATCATGCTGCTTCTTCATCTTCCCTTTGATAGTCTCCCCTATATACCATCACTGAGATGCGACTGCCATGTGCCCCTAGCCGTGCACTGAGAGCAGTCCGGACGCCATTGGCGTTCGCCCGCAATGGCCAGAAGCACTCACTGCATACCGGCACTTACAACGCTGCGGTCATAGGAGGTGGCATCACAGGTCTCGCGACGGCCTTCCGCTTGTCGCAGGACCCAAAATGCACCAAGATCACCCTGTACGAGAAAGAACAGCGGGTCGGGGGCTGGATGATGTCGCGGACCGTCCCTGTCGGCGACAATGATGGGAAAGTTGTATTCGAATATGGGCCAAGGACCCTGCGGGCTGCGACTCCCGCGTGTCTCCCACTGCTTGACTTGGTACGGGGAAAAAACATACTCCTTTGGTAGTATCCGGATAGCTAACCCTTTTTGTTCCATTTTTGTCTCGCAGCTGGTCGAGCTAGAATTACTCGAGGATGTGTTGGTCACGAGCAGGTCCTCCCCCGCGGCCCAAAATCGCTACATTTACTACCCCGATCACCTTGTTCGCATGCCGGGTCGCGATCCCAGCCGTAGCCAGTTCTCAGATCTCTACTCGAACTTTCGGACATTGCTTACGGAACCTGTCTTTGACAAACTCGTGCGAAGTGTTTTGACGGAGCCATTGAAGCTGCCCCCGGAGCACAAGTCTCTCGACTCCGACGAGTCCGTGAGAGAGTTTATTTCTCGGCGATTTGCCCCCGAGATCGCAGATAACATAGTCTCGGCCGTGTATCATGGTATCTACGCCGGCGATATTGACCGGCTGAGTGCGCAGACACTGCTGGGAGCCTACAGGGACCTTGAGCATGATGACCGCGGCGTGCTTGTGGGCCTTTTACATGCATCCACCTATGATATCACGTACAATCTGATGGATGATTGGCTGGCGCTGCACTCGCTGGCTGCGACAAAGCAGAAGAGCTATTGGAGTAGTTTGAAGACGCTGGTCAGAAACGCTAGTGTTATCACGTTGAAAAACGGCGTGCAGCAGCTTACTGATGCCTTGGCTGCGGCGTTACGCAAATCCAGGAAAGTGGACTTATTGACTGGTACAGAGGTCAAGGCTATTAGCACAAATCCCGTCAACTCTGATCTGACCGTAAGCGTAACTTTTCTGAGTTATAGGTAACTAGATAAGTTCGAGGCTAATATGCTTGGTTACAGATCCACTTCGGAGAGAAGAAGTCGAATACCCATAACCGTGTGATTGCAACGAATCCGGCGCCCAACCTGGCACAGCAGTTGGCCAAGCCTACGAGGTCGGGACAGAAGTTGCCTCAGAACTCGATTCGCCAACTGCAAGAACACAACTACGCTGTGAGTGTGATGGTTGTCAACCTTCTGTATGAGAATCCCAATCTACTCCCTGTCAACGGATTCGGCTATTTGATCCCGCGGTCGGTTCCATTCGAACAGAATCCAGAGATGGCCTTAGGTGTGATCTTCGGTTCCGACTCTAGTGTAGGTCAGGACACTGCGCCCTGTACCAAGCTCACCGTAATGCTGGGCGGGCACTATTGGGATGGTTGGAAAAAGACAGACTACCCAGACGGGGAGACCGCCATTCGGATGTGCCAAACCCTGCTCCACAGACATCTTGGCATCACCGACCAGCCTCTCCAGGTTGCTGTCAAACTGCAGCATCAAGCTATTCCGCAGTACACAGTCGGTCATCTGTCACGCATGCGGGACCTTTCACAAACAGTGCGCCAGGATTTCAATAATCGGTTGACTCTGGCTGGAAATTGGTATAATGGCGTGGGGGTGACGGATTGCGTTCGGCAGGCGTACATGGCTGCGTCGTACGGTGTTGGCGCACTTAAGCTCGATGCACCGAGTAGTGATGTCCCGTGGATAAAGTACCACTGGCAGGACTGGGAATTAGAGGGTGGTATACCGACCTCTCCCGTGCGAATGACCGAGACTTTTAGGTCGGAACGCAATCATTTTTTCTAGTTAGTGTTGGGGCAGCCTTGCCCTTGCACAATTGTACAATATGCGCTATCTTGCAAATAGAAAGAATAATGGAATGACCATTGAATCCACTAAAATGATTCCTAGTCTGTAATTTGATGACTATCGGGCATTTGAACACATTGGTACGGATCTGTGGGTGATCTGCGGACGAGTCAACCTGAGATAATCACTCTTCATCATTGACCATACCGACCCAGCATAGTTCGAGTTTGTTCAGTAGACGCTGATTCGGACGAGGACGCGTTCTCGTCGTCTGCTGATGATCCGTCCTCGCATCGGTGATGGACGTACGGCGCCAGGGAGACGAGGCTGTCATTGCTGCCCGAGATAAGACATCTGTAGTCACGGCCATATACATATTGTCCAGCAGCCATGTATAATAGCGTAGCATATTGAGGGAAGACTCTGCAGCGATTCGAGAGTTAAGATGGCGAGTGCTGCTGAAATACTCGAATAGTGGTACGCAGTCCGTTCTGTGAATTCAGAGAGCATGTTGCTCACAGTTTCATTCAGACACTCTCCTTCTCCTTCTCCCCCTCTTTCTCCTCTGTAAAATCTTTCTTGTCGCCATTAGGATCAAAGCCGAGTGCATCAAGCTGACGAATCAACTCCTGGATCTTGATCACTTTCTCCAACTGCTCGGGCAGCAGCGCCTCGCCCTGGTTCTTCTTGTCACGCAGATCGCGCGCCTGTCTGAGCTTTTTCTTCAGGTTCCGTGCTTTCTTCTCCTTCTCCGCTTCAGGATCGACTTCCGGCTGCGCCTCGGCGGTAGAGTCTTTCTTCTCAGCAGCAGACGCACCCGAACGCCAGTTCTCTAGATCCCGCACACTTGGCCCGTTGGCCTGTGTAGATGTCGGAGTCGACTCAGATTCCTGCGCTGCCTTGGCCTTTTTCTTCGCCTCTCGCCGCTTCGCGTTCTTGTTGCTGGCCGCTGTGTTGGCTTTATTCTCGCTCGCCTCGCTCAGCCCCTCCGCGCCTGGAACCCCGCCAGAACCACGGTTTCGCCAAGCCGCTGCGGCACGGTTCTTGTACAGTTCGACATCTTCTGGTGGACGGTAACCTGGTCGAACTCGGATCTCGCGACGCTTGGAACCGTCCGGGCGGACTGAAGAGGGGATGTAACGTTCCCCGGTTTGGGCGTCAGTGGTGATGCCGGAATTCGTGGACGCCATTAAGGCTTGATTTAGTAGGTTTGTAGTAATTGCTCGTAAGTCGATGATCGAGATAATTCTGCTGTAGCAGAGAGTGCGAGCCTAGAAGGAAGGCTATCGAATGAAGTGTTGGTATTGATTGTTGAGCGAGAAATGCTAAAGGCGGACACCCGGAGGCTCTGCGTGAGGATCGTTCCGGCCGACCAATCAGCGACCCGGTGATTCCCGCTGCTGCTTTTCGCGCCGGCTCGAAACTTCAATTCAACCTCTCCGTTTGGCAGTACCTCGCTTGTCTGCAACTGGCTTTGCTCGTCTTCCTGTTTTTCTCGCCCTCCTCCCATCTAAGTCATCTACAGTCACAATGGCCGGCGCTGTAAGTACTGCTGAAGTTGAATTACGAATGGCGAATGTGCAATTGACTAACTCCGGACCCTCCGACACAGATCGCTTCCGCCATCTACCAGCATGTCTCCCTGCCTTTACCTGATCACTTGAGGACGACTTTCCAGCATCGCTAACCTGACTATTTTTTTGCGATGACAGGGGCCTGATCCGCAGAAACGCGGTATACCTGACCACCATCTTTGCCGGTGCCTTCGCTTTCGAGATGTACGTTTGAAACCCGATTGGATCTGAAGATACACAATCGTTGACAATGCTATCCAAATAGGGCCTTTGACACTGCTTCCAACAAGATCTGGGATACCATGAACCGCGGTGTACGTTGCCTTCGTCGATACCTGTCTCTCTGTGAGATACTAGCGGAACATTTGACTGACGAATATACACGTTACAGCGGCAATGGAAGGACATCAAGCACCTTTACATGAACAAGGAGGAAGAAGAAGAAGACTAGAGATGTGGATGCTCGCCAGAAGAATAGAGATGCAGCACCAATTCTCGTCAGATGCATCCTCGGGGGGATGTTGCCTGATGCCTATGTTATATTACTGCTGAGTACAGAGGGGGAATTGTTGTTATTATTTTCAGCCCGATTGTATGCAATAGAATTTGGAAAAGCTGTAACCGATCCTTCATCAATTGGTCCTGTCCTTTTTCGTTGAAAAGTAGAAAGCTGTCTATCAGGTCCCTTTCCTAGTGGGGAGAAGATGCGCGAATGGGGATTCAGTGGCGGCAAAAGACATCCAGCGGTCACCCGCTGTTTGCGTGCTCCAACGCAATCATAGCAGCTGCTGCTCATCAACACCGTGGGGTCTGCTTCTTCCTGTTGTAATATCTTTTTTGGATGTCTTCACAGCTTTGATCGTATGGACTTACAGAGGAAGAGACTTTGGAAGATTCTCATGGTCTGAAGCTCTTATTGGTGAGTGATCTCTACAGCTGTGTTCTGTTGGGCTTACCAGCGCTCTTCGCCCCGCCGAGGGTCATATCTTCTTCTCTTCCAATATTCTAATTCACCCGCCGACTAATACATTTATTTTTGTTTTGAGTTTAGGTTTACGCTATCTCCAGATCTTCTTGTTCCATATATCGTCTGTTTGTCTGTCTATATTAGCGACCTTCACGACGTCAACGCTTTCCTGCCAATTATCTATCATACGCAGTGGAACATTCGGAATCACCCTCATTGTCCCGCCGCACGGAGCTCCATCTCACCAAACCGACTCTACGCAGTGCTGACTCCCGCTTCGGGCAGCTGAACGAGAGTTCGATCTACATTTATATCAAGCTGAATGATGCTCACGGAATGTGAGAGAAAACTTGGTGAAGGCCTCCTTCGGCTTCCCTTCGAACACGGCTGTCGCTATGGACCCGAGGCCGAGCAAGATCTACTCGAGCTCCTCTTTCGTTCGCTAGTAGGCTTCGATGAAGACCGTTTACGCCAGCTCTTCCCGGACGGGTTTCCGGAAGGACCATGGAAGCTAGCCGAAGCGCAAGGTGCTCAAGAAGGAGCAGAGTACACAGAAGCTGCGCGGGGGAAGCGATGCGGTCATATTTTCCGGGCCGGGGAGGCAACGTATCGATGCGTTACCTGTGCCGTTGATGATACGTGCGTCCTGTGTAGTAAATGCTTTGACGCCTCCGACCACTCGGACCATCAGTACCAGATCTCACTATCGTCGGGTAACTGTGGTTGCTGCGACTGCGGCGACGATGAAGCCTGGCGGTATCCTCTGTTCTGCGCAATCCATACCGATCGCGGCGACAGCAAGGGCAAGCAGCGTGCTCAGACTCACCTGCCCTCAGATTGGGCGGAAAATATCAGACTTACGATTTCCCGAGCAATGGACTATTTTTGCGATGTCATTTCGTGCTCTCCGGAACAACTGAGATTACCCAAGACAGAGGATGGCATAAGGCAGGATGAAGTGGCATCCCGACTTACCGGAGATTGGTACGGTGGCGGAGATCAGGCTGAGGAAGAACCGGAATGGGCTTGCGCGCTCTGGAATGATGAGAAACATACTATTCGGGATGTGGCTAATCAGGTCGCTCGGGCTTGCCGGGAACGAATCCGCTTTGGTGAGAAGAAGGCCTACGAAACCAATGATATTGGGAGGACTGTGGTCAGACAGTCCAAGGACTTGTCCCAACTGCTGAAGGTATCCCAAGTCCTCGAGCAGATCAAGGTTACGACTACAGTGCGATCTGCTCGCGATACATTTCGCGAGCAAATGTGCGGAACTATTGTCGAATGGCTTTCTGATATTGCGGGGTGCACCGTGCTGGAAGACGATCAGATTTTCCGCCATGTAATCTGCGAAGAGCTCCTCAGTCCTTGGCGACAAGGCAGTGGTGCCTATAACGCCAGTATTGGATTGAAAGGCATCGATGACCACGCGAGACAGGAACATTCACCATACCGCACCCTAATGCTGGCCGCCGTCGCTCCTCAAGGTCAAGTGATGTTCGCGCCTGAAGCGGACCTTGAAGATGATGAGGATGATAATGGTAATGGTAATGACGAAGGGGAAGGCGATGATGACGAGGATCATGCCGAGGCCCATGAAGATGCGGATGATGAGGACGAGGAGATGGAGATCGATTTGAACAGACTGCGAGAAGAGGTGGAGGAAGATGAAGATATGGTCATGGGCAATGCTGATGACACCGTACCCCTCGAAATCGCTGCGAGTCTCCTCGAGGATCTGCGTCAGAGGCGGATGGCATTGATGGATGAGCAGGAACGGCGGGAACGAGAGGAATTGCAAGCGCAGCAGGAGCAGTCTCGAGCACAGGACGCACAACAGGCTCAGCACGACACGCATGCGGCCAGTGACGAGCACAGTGGTGACGACACTGGCGAATACGCTGACATCTCCACCGTTGCCATTCCTAAAACTCCTTCCGGGGTGGTCAAGCCTCCTCCAGCCAGGGCGCCAGGGTATTGGCTGACTCGGCCTGCCGGCTTTTCGTTCAGGGAGAACGTACCTGTCTACGAGGACTTTTATCAGCGAACGCGACTGGACTGGATGATTCTATTCGACCTGAGATTGTGGAAGAAAACGCGCACCGATCTTCGGGATCTTTACATCGGCACCGTGGTCAGTGTTCCTCAATTCAAACGAATTTTGGGCCTGCGCATGTCGGCCCTCTACACAGCATTGGCGCAATTATACCTCATTGCCGATAGAGAACCGGATCATTCTATTGTGAACCTTTCATTACAGATTCTCACGACGCCGTCAATAACTGAAGAGATCGTGCGGCGTGGAAACTTCTTGACCAAAGTGATGGCTATCCTGTACACGTTCTTGACCACAAGACAGGTCGGCGAGGCATATGAGGTCAATCCGAACGCAACATTGGCGTTTGACGCAGGTACAGTCACCAACCGGCGTCTTTATCACTTCTTCCTGGATCTGCGTTACCTTTTGCAATCCGAGTATGTACAGCACCACGTTCGTACCGAGGAGCAATATCTTTCTCAATTCCTAGACCTTGTCAAGCTTTCCCAGGGTATCTGTCCGAATATCCGCGCGGTTGGGGAGCATGTCGAGTACGAGCCAGACGCCTGGATAAGCGCTTCAATTCTGATGCGAGAAATCAATCGTCTCTGCCGCCAATTCTGTGAAGCTTTCCGCAATCCTGAACTCGATGGCGGAAAGAACCTGTTCAGGGCAATCCGAATGGCTACTGTTTCAGCAATTGTTCATTCCGCCGGATTGGAGCGCCAGCGATTCGAGCAGGCAGAGGTTAAAGAGTACGTTCGTTTCAAGCTGCTGCCGTGCTTTGATTTCGAGGTCGACCACACCGGCCAAATTCCGCGTCATCGTGTGGTGGACTTTGTCGTCGAAAGGGGGTCTATCAGCTTTCACCATGCACTGCATTACACACTCTCGTGGTTGCTCGAATGTGCGCGTAATGTGAGCGGTGTTCAAATGCGCGATGTTCTCTTAGACGCCGCTCGCATGGCCAACGACAATATTATTCGCGACAGCTCCCTCACCCCCGATGACTTGCTGCTTACCATGTTTGACTACCCATCGAGAGTATGCGCGTGGCTGGCACAGATGAAGGCTGGAATGTGGGTTCGCAACGGCCTCAGTCTTCGGCATCAGATGTCGCAGTACCGGGGAGTGTCATCGCGTGACTTTGCGTATTACCGCGATATCTTTCTCCTGCAGACCGCTTTAGTGACTTGCGATCCAAGCAGGGTTCTAGCATCGATAGCAGATCGTTTCGGCATGGTGGACTGGATGACCAGAAACTACACTCCACGTGCTGGCTACGAGGATGCGCAGATCATTGATGTAGCCGAGGAGTTTGTCCATTTGTTGATCATCTTGCTGACTGACCGAAATTCACTCGAGGCTATTGACGATAATGAAACTGTAACTCGTGACAACATCCGACGGGATATTGCCCATGTCCTATGCTTCAAGCCTCTTTCGTTCTCCGATCTATCAACGCGCTTGAGTGATAAGCTACTTGATTCGAGCATGTTCCAAGAGACGTTGGAAGAGGTTGCAGGGTTCCGTCCGCCTGAAGGCCTGAATGACACTGGCACCTTTGAGCTCAAGCCGGAATATATTGATCTCATTGACCCCTATAGCGCT